AATTGCACCAACAATCGACATAAATCGGGACTAATTATTTTATAATTATATACAAATCGGGTTGCTGCATAAATTTGTATCAATCGGGGCTATAGCGAATTTGTAATTTAACAACAATCGGGAATATATCAGTTTAAAATAAGACATATACCCAATTTTTTTTACTTCAACTAGTGTAAGCTTAAAGAAAATTTTGATATATTTTTTGAACAAGAATTATTAATAGCATTTGAAACACTAAATAATGAAGACTTTTGCAAACTTTTTGATAGTTTGAAACAGGGAATAAAAAAAGCATATAAAGTTTTTTTAAAATGGATGTTCTTGTAGGTATATTTACCATTATTAATATGTTGGTTAGGTGAAAATTCTAGTCATAAGTTCGCATAAGCTTTTTATCATGTTGTTTTATTAACTCTATGGTTTTTAGAACCAACTGAATATGAAATAGAACTTGCAGAACAATTAAGTAGTAACTTGAAAATATCCAGTAACACATTTGGCCTTCAAGAAAAACTACTTAATAATCAAGAGTTTAAAATGAATTTTTGGAATTTTGTTTAAATTCTAATTCTAAAATTCATGAATATCCTTTATTATATGGATTTGTCAAAGAACAAATATATTTTATCAACAGCAAGTAGAAGGACTTTTTAATAAGTTAGATTTAAAAACTCACCCAAATATGTCACCTAGTATAAAGCAAGCAAAGTTGCAATTTTTCTCTGAAAATATAAATAAAGAAAATATTAGTTTGAGACCTAAAGAGGCCCATATAAACTGTCAAAAGCTATCAAGTAGAGTTGAAAATGAGCAAAAGATATTTGTAAAAGAAGAAGCAACTTGAATATTTCTTGTATTACTATATAAGATTTAAAATGTAAAAAAATATGACTGTTAAAAATGATATAAAAAAAAAATTTACTAGTAATTTTTACTATGAGACTATGCATATATTTAATCTACATAGTATATTAGACATCTACCTATATATACATAATTTAATAAGATCAGATAACTAATATATATTACAATAAACTAAATATTAACATGTGCACATATAAGTCAATTTTATTCTCTAGCACAATCCATTTTTGTTTAAATAATGCCTTTATTCATTTTTAATTATTTTTTAATGAAAATTTAGATTTAAAAAATTATATAAAATTTTAATTTCTATTCTTTGGCAAGATTTGTTTTTGTTCAAACAAAGCCTTTATTCATTTCTAATTATTTTTTGATAAAAACTCATTTTTAAAAAATTATATAAAATTTTAATTCCTATTATACATTTTCATTCAAATGAAGCCTTTATTCATTTCTTGGCAAAAATTAGTTTTTAAAAAATGTATAAAACTTCAATTCCTATTCTTAGGTACTATTTTTGTTCAAATGAAAGTATTTATTAATTTTTAATTATTTCTTATTTCTTATTGAAAACAAAAATTCATTTTTAAAAAATTAAATTAAATTTGATTCCTATTCTTTAGCAAAATACATTTTCATTTAAATGAAAGTATTTATTTATTTTTAATTATTTTTTGTTTCTTTGTCAAAGACAATAAATATATAAACAAATATAAACATACTAGATCTTAGAACCCGGCATTAGACCTCCACAAAAATTACTTGTATGATTTCAGAATTTTTGGAGGCTATAAAAACAATGGTATACAATTGGTACTTGAACCAAAATCATATGTGAAGTTAGTATATTAAACCTATTTTTGGAAAACATGCTTTATTTATATCTCACATATGCTTGCTACTAGTAGCAGGCCTTTAAAGTCAAACAGGTACAGGCCTGAAGGCCAGGTTTGAGCCCGTACCTGTCTGACTTTAAAGGTCTGCTGCTAGCAGCATGTGCGTGTGAGGTATAAATGAAGCATATTTTCCAAAAGTGGGTTTAACATACTAACTTCACATACAATTTTGGTTTAAGCACCAATTGTGTAATATTGTTTTTATAGCCTCCAAAAATTCTGAAATTATACAGATAATTTTTGCAAAGGCCTACCTAGCATTGCTTGGGTTCGAGTTTCTAATTTTTTGCTAATTCTTAAACCTCAATATATTAGCTTTTAGATTATAAATTATTAAAATTTTTACTTTAAACTATAAAATTTTATTTTTCTTTTAAATTTTATATAATAATTTTAAATATATATTTTATCTAAACTTTTATTAAACTTACTTTATTTTTATATAATTTATTTATAATCTATAAATTTAATAATTTGTTACAAAAAGAGATGTGGCGACTTAGTGTAGTGGTCTAGTCATCACCCTCTCCAAGTAGCGGGTTTAGAGTTCAAATCTCACTGGCAATGATATTTGAAAAATAGGCCTGTGTTTGGTTAATAGCTATGCTTATCAGTTGGATCTAGAACTATAATCTGTAACTTCGGTCACACCATCTAGTAATAGAAGCTTTGGCACAATAAACCCGAGGAACCGGCATAACTGAAAATCTATTTGGGAAGACTCAAATCTAAAGATAGCAGTGATCTTCGATGGTATCACAGGAGGGCTGAATTCGAACCAAGGCCTAAGATTAAAGAACCGAGTGACCAGGTCTTATAGCAGAGAATACATCAGCCAAACCACTAGGTTGTTGCACTGGAGGAAAAAGACATACACTTTGAAAGTATCGACCAAGGGGAAGACATCCTTCAGGTACCTAAAGCCTGAGCAAACCAACTCTTTCAGGTTGTCAGCTGGAAGTAAGAGAGGGACTAATAAAGAATCTGGGTAATGAAACAGTATAAATGTGGGTATTGGGGTTGTTGTAAACTAGATAAGGGCAAGGAGTATATAATGGGTGCCTAATTAGGAAGGTTAGTGCTTGAAAAATGTCTGTAGAACGGCAGCACCCCAAAAGGTGGCGTGAGATATAAATACAGAATAGCAAGTCAATATGTACTAATTAGAAAGCCGTTACAGAACATGCAGGTAAATACATGTGTAAAACATATACTGCTCTGTTAGATTTACCTCGAGGATAGATTAGCCAGAAATAGTTAGTAAGTCCTAAGGCAGTTAGTGTATCCTTTGCAAGGGTGATGCAAAATCTATCCATATATAGTAAGTAAACCTAGTGTTAGAGACTTGAAGGTGGCAGTTAGAACCAGATAGTTTAAATGTGTACCTCCCTAGTTGGGATGCAGGTATAGCAAATAGTGTAGAACCTTCGAGAGAACTACTTAAATTAGGCACTCAAAAGGTGCATGTGTGGCTTGATATACCAGTATTGTAATTGTATTATAAAACATTATTAACGCTCTAATAAAAGCTTTCAGGCCAAAGAGGTCTCCTTAATCCATAAAAAAAAAATAATAATTTGTTACAAAAAACTTGCATTTAATTTATTATAATAATTTACTATAACAGGTAATGATTATATGTTATATAAGTTATATAATATAAATTTGTATTACCTAATCATTAAATTGCCTAAGCTACTAACATTACTATTTGATATATTTCTAGTATAAAACTTGACTGTTATAAACTATAAACAAAAAATTTCTGAAGTTAGAATTTAAAAACTTATAAACTCAAAAGTAGGAGTATTAAAAGTCCTACTTTGCTCAACTCAACTTAAAAGTTGAGTCAAGTTGAGTTCAAGTTAGTTCTAAGTTTAGAATTTCATAAAACAAAAACTTTGATCAAAGATATCTTGGCATCTATCTGACCAAATTTGATCAACTTTTTTTATTTAATTATAGAAAGCTACAAAATTTAAAAAAAAAAATTGATCAAATTTGGTTAGATAGGTGCCGAGATAAAGTCTAGCAAAGTTTGTAAACAACTTTTGCAGCAGCTTATATTTGATAGATATTTAGAATTTTACAAAAAACTTTGATCAAAGATATCCTGGCACCTACCTGACCAAATTTAATTAACTTTTTTCTTTGAATTCTACATCTTACTATAATTAAAATAAAAAAAAGTTAATTGAATTTGGTTAGGTAAATACTGAGATATCTTTGATCAAAGTTTGTAACCAACTTTTGCCACAGCTTATATTTAATAGATATTTAGAATTTTACAAACTCTTTGATCAAAGATATCTCAGCACTTATTTAACCAAATTCACTTTTTTTTTGAATTTTACACTTTATATAATTAAAACAAAAAAAAGTTGATTAAATTTGGTCAAGTGGGCACCAAGATATCTTTGATCAAAGTTTGTAAACAATTTTTGCACAGCTTATATTTGATAGACATTTAGAATTTTACAAAAACTTTGATTGAAGATATCTTGACACTTATCTTACCAAATTCGATCAACTTTTTTTTCTTAAATTCTCAGGCTTTCTATAATTAATAAAAAAAGTTGATTGAATTCTGTCAAGTGTATGCTAAGATATTTTCGATCAAAGTTTGAAAACAATTTTTGCTACAGCATATATTTAATAGATATTTAAAATTTTATAAAACTTTGATTAAAGATATCTCAGCAACTATCTAACCAAATTAGATAAACTTTTTTTAATTATAATAATAGAAAGCTATAGAATTCAAAAAAAATATATTGATCAAATTTGGTCAGGTAGGTGTCAAGATATTTTTAATCAAAGTTAAAAAAAATTCTAAAAATTTAAAATGATCTACATAGGTGTGGCATTATCAAAAAAGAGTGTAGAAAAATCTATTTTCTAAATAAATTATATATATATAATTTTGTTTAAAATCAATTAAATTTAGTTTTGGTTTTGGACAAGATTTTGAACAAGTTTTGAACAAGGCGTCCAAAAACCAAAACTGTCCAATTTCTCAGCACTGGTTTAAGAGATAGTTAAAAAAATTTTTTTATTAGATAAATTTTTTAAATTTTTTAATAAAAGTTGTAAATAATAACTATCTAATTCTAATTATAAAATTTAATTGATATTAAATTAATTTATTACTGGAAGTAGTACAATATATACTCCGAAAAACTTGGTTAGAAGTTTCGATGCTTATAACCTGTAAGACCTACCAATTAGGGAAGTATCTGTTATCAAGTTCTGCATGCATATCATTAACACTATACGTAATAATGAAGGTTGTACTTAAGATACGAACTGGGTTACAGCAGCATTACAAATAATGGTTTGAGATACAAACTCAGTAATGGCAGACAACATGTACTACACCAATCTGGAAATAGCCATAAAGTTACGCTTGCCTAGTGCCTCCTAGTGGGATCTGTAATAGATACTGCACTAGAACCATATTGGAAGTATAAAGTTGTTAGTATGAGAAATGTGGTGAATATATTAGGTTAGAATAGGATATTTAGTTAGTAGTATACAAAATCCAGATAATATATGAATAGAATATAGATGGCTCTGGTAGATATAGATTAGTCTAAGCCACTATTCTATTAATTATAGTATAAATGTATATTATATATGTATATACCTAATAAATAACATAAGACAAGATCTCATTTTTTTTTTTTAAAAAAAAAAAATTAAATTAATCTACTATATTTTTTCCAAAATAAGCTACCATTTTTGGGCCAAAAATTACATGAAAATTTCTGAAATAGCTTATTTTGGGAACAAATTAATTTT